CCGAAGTTTTATGCCAACTTTAGTCTGATGGCATATAAAAATAAACAGTGAGTAAATTACTTTCAAGTGATGAGAATGATAGAATGATTTATGATTGATCATATGACACTAAAAACTGGAGTAATGGTGCTGAAAATTCAGTTTTAAACCCACAGGAATAAAGTACATTTAAAAAAAAAGTTTAGAATAAACTTGACTTAATTTCTCAGCTGTTTTGAAGTTTGTTTGCAGGCAAACACGTAATCCATGGATGAGGCAAGATGCAATGGATGATGAAAGAGATGAAATTCTACAATATCGTTTATAATTTTATCAACCTTTACATCACTGTGTAATAACACAATGCAAAATGAAAAAAAAAATTGGCTAATAACACAGTGCTGCAGTCAGTGTTCAACAACAAACTGTGTTTTATGCAGAAAGGCCTCTCCTTAAACATTAAGCTAAATCAGTTTATTTCAATAACATCAGGCAACATGACACTCAGATGTCGGACTCGGTATTATACTGTACTGCTGGGGTGCCATGCACAAGAGGGTAACATTTTTCAGAAACAAAAACATCATGATTCCTGAAATCCAATGGAATTACTAGTGAAGAAGAGCAAAGAAAAATGCATGGTCCCATCGAACAAATCACACTTGCATTCTTCAAAATATTGTACTCATTATCATTAAATGGAAATGTGTCCTTTACAGTCCAACTTTAAATGTGAGATTCCATGTCAAACTTTGCAATCATATTAAAGGTCAAATCAGGTTCGTCTGGGATGATATCATACCGCAGATTTGATCTGTTGTAATCCAGTGTTGTTTTGTAAGCAATGGGAACGGTTTTCAAAATATAGTCATTTGCTGGAGAAAATTCAATCAAACCCAGCTTTGAGAGCAACACTGGCACAGCACAAGCTCAGATTGTGGAGTTTGAGAAACACTGTGGCTTTTGACAGAGTTGATACATGGCCTTATGGCTGACAGAGCCGCTTTTCATCAAGAAATACAGTCTGACTCCCTGACTCTGAAAAATAAACAAGTGCAAGCTCTCAAAAGTGCAAATGAGAGACAGGAAGATCTCCAAACAAGGCAGATGCTTCACCAGCAATCCAACGTCCTTCATTTCTGTACAAAGTGAAAGTCTTATCTGCTAAAGGACCTGTAGCTTCAAGTGGATAGAGGTTTATAGTTTGTTCCTGCAAGTACATTGTGTTAATAGCCAAGGACAAAACTGCACACAAAAGAGTGCCTAACTTGATTATCTGACACGCTTTAGAGTAATTTGTTTGCCACATAAACTCCAACAGTGAGAAAGGAGCTGAATTCCAGTTTTTAAAGTTTGAAGAGGGATCCTTCACTTAAATGAATGAGCAGTGTTATTTAGTATCATTACTATTATAGTTCTTATTAATGTTTTGAATTAGTTCATTTTTTATTTTCATTTAAATTAGAAAAATGTTGTGTGCTTGTCATTTTATTAGTTTTTTTATGTGTATAGCCTAGTTTCTATCCATTTTTATTTCAGTTTTAGCAATTGTAGTACATTAAGTTAAACTAAATGAAAAATCTGCCTTGGCAACTAGATTTTTAGCAGACATTGTTTGTGTGGTAGATAATAGCCATATCGTCAATATTATGATATCAAGCTGGAATTAATCAGCCAATTTAAAAAAAAAATTGATTTGCATTACAGCCTGAGGCAAGACAGTTTCACCAGAAAAATAAATAACAAACATGACTATCAGCCTGCAGACATAGGATAGTTAATCCTGGCCGATTATTTTGTCCGTCTAATAGACCGATTAATCAGCCGATTTTTGGCATTTTTTAACATAATCGCATCGGCCAATATCCAAGTATATCAAGCCGATTATTAGGCAGATGCATCTGTGGGCAGCCTAGTGTTGTCGTGGAACACATGTTTTTTCCAGTCATTTTCCAGCCGAGTGAGCAGCAGACCTAAATATGGATGCGTTCATGAACAAGACTGACTGTTAGTAATTAGCTGGATTAAACATGGTTAAAATGCTGGCCAAACAGTGTAAAGTGTGATTGTATTTCACTGTAGACTAAAAGGACCAACAACGGGATGCCGTTGTCTGAAGACCAACAGACGGATGGTCCGTTGTGGTGCATAAAGTTTTTGTAAACTATCTTTTTCCCATCTGGTGGTTGTTTTTATCGTTCAACAGCAATTTACTAATGAAACACGTTATTGTTAGAAGTTAAATTAAATAAAATATAATAAATCTTAAAATTATAAATAAAAAATTTAATAATTTAAAGTTTTTTTTCTCCTTTTTTGTGATAATTAGGTTATGTCCATTTGTCTTTGTCCGACAACAAAAAAACAAAACAAAAATACATGTTTCAGGACATTTTTTGAGATGATAAAATGTTTTTGTTGAGAAAGTTTGTCTATGTTAAGTAATAATCATTTCTTTTACTTTTTATCTTTCAAATAGAGGTTAAAAACCAAGCCAATATCAGCCAAAATAAATCGGCAGCATTAATCGGCCATCGGCCGACCTGGATTTCAAAGGATCGTTATCGGCGTGAAAAAAACCCTATTGGTCGACCTCTACCGTCTAATCATGTATTATTTACTTGCAAGAATGTAGCCCCTACCAAACTCAGTAATCAGTATACTTTCACATCTCGAGCTGGTGCGAGCTGCCTGCCCCGGCTCTACGGGGATGCTTGAGTGTGTTAAGCGCCCTCAAAAGAAAGCGATGCAGCGAGGGATGAAGCTACACAACACATTACCAACAGTAAACTGATCACAAGTGCTCTGTTTCTGATGCACTTCACGTTTGCTAGGCAGGGGAAAATTGATGCACCAGACCAAAAAAATAAATAAATAAATAAAATAAAAAAAATCACTCGTTCGCTCATTTTACCGTACCCCAAAAAATGTTACCTTTAGGAGCGAGGACCTCTTGGATGGGTCGGGCACCCCCCCTCCTCCTCCTCCTTTGGCTCATGCCAGCGAGCTAACGCTGGACCAATATTGATCCTCATCCAGCCTTTGATTTTGCCACCCTCCCTTTTTCTCTTTCTACTGTCCTCCGACAAAACCTTTGTCTTCTTGGTTTTACTTGCTGCTTCAGCCATGACAACATACAGAGAGGAAAAAAAAAACACTCTTGGGCTCTCGTATCGGAATTTGAGGAAGTGGGGGAAGTGACGTATGCCGTAAAGCAGTTGAATTTTGTAGTTCTTTTTGTGCTCGGGTTCCTACCCGCTCCCCAAAATTACAGAGTGCCAGTAAAAGCGATACATGTCCACGTCAGGTTATGGCAGACCTGTCACTCAACCTATTTTAAGTCAATGTACATCTCAAGGGTTTTGGAAAAATATTATAAAAGGTTGAAAAAGTTGCATAGTGCTACTTTAAACTCATTGAAATTCAATGTAGCCTACAAGAGTGATGCTGAGGCCTGAAATCATATTCACCACCACTGTGACAACACTCATTTACCCACAATGAGATACTTCAGTCAAAGTTCCTCCTTTCCCTAAATCAGTAAAACAGTACATCCTTATGGGTGTCATGACTCATGAGGCTTTTCAAATAACACATGTACCAGAAATATAAAGGCACCAGCACCAAAACTTCCCAACAAACTAGTGAATTGCCCGTCATCATTTAGAGACTTTGCATATCACATTTAAAAGGATAGTTTGCCCAAAAATGAAAATTGTGACACTAATTAGGCTACTTCATTCCAAACCTGTAAGACTTTCATTCATCTTCGGAACACAAATGAAGACCTTTTTGATGAAATATGAGAGCTTTATGTATTGTAATCTCCATTGACAGCTACCAAACTGAAACTACTACATTGATGCTTCAATCTTTCTGAAGTGTCAACGTAGTTGGGTAATTTTCACCAGAGGGACAGGAAGGTCTCCAATTTCATCAAAAAGATCTTCATTTGTGTTCCGAATATGAATAAAAATCTTACAGGTTTGAAATGACAATTAATGGAAATGATTTTTGGGTGAACTATCCATTTAACCCCATGTAAAACATTTCAGTTTTACTTGTAGGCCTACTTTGGGATGATAATCTTTTTTTTAACCAAGGGTTATTAAACCCTGCTCTAATTTGGTTGTGGGCCAAAGGTATGCGTGACATCAGGTAAAATGTAATGATGGAAAGTAATTTTTGTTTTTTTGGCAACAGATAACCGATATTACAACGGTTTAGGGCTGACTTCAATGGGGCGATCATTGAATCAAAGTTACAAGCATTAAATGAATAGATAGTATTTTCGGATATCCGAGTGGAAACGGCTTCTGGAACCAGAAAAAAAAAATGTCTTGTGGGACTTTAAATAATATAGGGCACATTCTTTTTCTTTTCTGAAATGATGTGCGCGGAAAATTATTCAAAACAAATACAAGAATGGTTCATTTCAATTTCATGGTGACTTTATCTATATTCATTCCCTTATGTAGAGAAAGTTCCATTCAGTTAAAGGTAGGCCTGTATGGAAAACGTTAAAATAATTTTTAAAGGTATATTTCAAAAGATGGAAGACAACCAGAAGAGATTTATATGGCGACAACTGGATAAGCAGGTAACTTAATAGACAGTTGCGTGCTATATTTTAATCAGTATTATACCTCAAATAACGCTAACACAGCGTTTCCGAATGTAGCCTACTGTGTGATATCTCAGCAGCACCTCAATAACAACCCAGGATAAGTATGGACAGAGTGAAACATGGAGCAAGGTAACCCAGGATTAAATTGACCCACGGTTACAACTTTAAATTGTAAACAAACACCAGGTGCGCGCGTCCAAAATGCAGACATGATCCACATCCCGAGAGTCTGAGACTCCTCAGTCAACAGGTAACTTAGGCATGCAGGCCCACATGTCCAGAAGCAAGGCAAAATCACATCAGTAATCGCGTCTATTGTCGACAAGTAAAAATAAAGAAATACACCCAGCTTTATGGCAGTTTGTAATGGCTCAGTTTTCAAGCACGTGCTTACCTGCAGTAAACGAGACAGTCCATATGATTTATTTCTTTATCTGAGCGGTGTCGTCTGTAATCCTCCCATAAATCCTTGATAGCGGTAACGGACAAAATAAAAACCACAGGGGCAAGAGCCAACTCTGGTTGAAACGCATTGACCACAGGCACAAAATTCAGTAAGGCTATGAAAACAAAATACACGTTGGCAAACCGGTGAAATTGCTCGAAGAGGTTCTTCGGTAGGAAAGAAAGCAGAGTGTATTTTGTGGTTTTGATCTTATTGTTTGCATAGTGTCTGTTGTTGGGGTTATCCCCTCCTTTGGTATGGTCATACAAAATGTTGGCGTGTACAATCCTTGTTTTACTCTCCTTTTTGCTTTTCCTCCTTTTATGCTTTTTCACTTTGGTACTTTTCGTGTCTCCAGTCTCTCGCGCCATACTTTTGTACCAAAACTTTTGTCTCTTTTCCTTGAACAAATAAAAGATGGTATCTATGTAATCATGCTGATCCTCCTTGATGATGTAGGGCCGTATGAAATGCTCTTCACTCTGTTTTATCGTCCTCATCCATCGCGTCAATTCTCTCCCTTTCTCTCGTTACTGAAAAGTTTTACAGCGGCATCTTTTTTTTCCCTCAGTGGATGAAGATGCTTTAAGGCAGGGCCGAGCGATTATACGTACGCGCTGTTACACATTTTAGTAACACAAATCATATGGATAAACCCACAGATCAGTATTGCTGTTTAAAGTCCATCCTTATGATTGTTCATGCGGGGTTTTACGCAGACCGTGTTGAAAAAACAAGCCAATCACTGGAGGTACAAAATTACGTCACCGATGACGCAAACATAGCCCCGCCCACTTACAAATGAAACATCTTAACTGGAAGTGCCACGCGTTACCATTGAGAAAAGGGGATTCTAATGGAAGACGCAAAGTTGTTTACAGTTTATGCGGCGGTTGTATTTAATTTAGTTGTTATTATGAAAAATGCATTGTTCTCAAAAAAAGTCTGAATGACCTCAGTCACTCTTCACTTTCAAGATGATCTCATTCAGTCAGTCCCTAGCTATCACTTTTCTTAAGTCTCTTTAGTCTAGTCTGAGTTTAGTGTCTAAGATACAGGAAGTAACATCTGTCAGATTTCTGGCAGGTGTTGTTGAATATGACATGGTTGAAAATAACATTATATTTTTACCTGGATATCTGTAAAACGCACGATAGGGAGGACAACAAGCAAACAACACAAACAGTCGACAGGGAGGACATCACAACAGAATAAAACAACAGCAATAACAGTGGACAGACAAATGTATGTGCAAAGCAGTCAAGACTTTTTTTTTTTTGCACAGACGGAACAGAATAGTTTTCTTTAAAAAAAAAAAAAAAAAAACTTCCACAAATGACAGAACAAGACGAAGCATTATGATAGGCTATAAACAAAGAACAAAGCTACACATCAACATAATACTAATTTTTGGCACAAGACAAGAACCAGACAAGATTATTTAAAGTGTGTTCTGTTTGTGTTACTGTATGATATACAGTTACTCTTGTGCTTTTGTATAGATAACCGTAATTTTGTTATTTTATAGATAACCGTAATTTTGTTATTTTATAGATAACCGTAATTGTTCAAATTAAGAAATTAAGTATGGATTATTAACAAATTGGAAGCGCTTGTTTATGTTGGTCGAAAAAAAATGTACTTCTAAGTGAAAATGCTCAAAATAGAGGGATTTATATAATGTTTACTATTGGACCTTACCTTATTTATTATGCTAGTAGTAGTGTAGGTTTTATGATGGCTGCCTCCCACAGGACTATTAACAGACCACACCAAAATTGTGGATATTTCAGTGCAATTAAAAATAGTACATGAATGTTTCATTACACTGTGGTCATGCCAAATCTACGCCCTTGTTTGGTGGAGATTCCTTTAGCCAAGAAACTATTAACGATTCGTGATGTTTATATTATCTCCACAAACAAGTTAATCGGCTTCTCCATGACTCAGGGCCCTGTAATGAGACGAAAGCAAACGTGCTGCCTTGTGCAGTCATAAACTCTTTGATATCCCTTCCTTGGTATCTTCTGATTGAGTAAAACCATCTGTCTTAATACAGAAAAACAACTTCGAAGTAAGTCTGTATGATATCTTGAAGACTAAAATGAAAACATGTTTGTTGTCCAGTCCATAACAGACAGTAGTCTGAGGATTATTATAGCTGTTTCATGTTAGTAGATATACAGTTACCATTGTTGCTGTTGTGTAAACAGATATGAGGTTGGCATATTTAATTACAGAAATAGGTGGGTTTATGTCACAGATAAATTTCACATTACCACTCAAGACCCGCTGACTCGTCCGCCATCTTGGAACAGTCAACACTGTGCAGCGAGAGAATATTGATTTGTGTTTTTATATGTATCAACTCAACCTTACAAGCTTTTAATAGGAACATTTTAGCTAATGCCTTCGTCTTGTTGCATTGTCTATATTGCAGATTTAGATATTCATATAACTACGGTTGCAGTTGCACAGCCAACTTGTTCTCGAGTGATGATGGCATGTATGTGAGTGAATGTGGCATGTATGGGTTAATGGTACAATATTGGTACAAGAACTGGTTCGAATTCCATTCAGGATAGGCTATTTCTTCTTCTTTTTTTCTACTAGTGTACCCTTGAACAGAGAAGGAAACAAAGCAAGTTGTCTCTGAGCTCTGACATCTGTCTGCAGCATAAGCTGTTGAATTTCTAGTTATCTATAAAATCTAAGCCATAAATCATGACAATGATCTAGTTTTAAATAGATAAAACGATTGCTATCGCGATTGATCAAATGGAAAAAAACACATTTTGACATCAGCAGAGGCAAATACATTAGTAACTGTGCTTAATGCTGAGCATACGTCACTATTTTATTTTTCTCTGGTGTAAATGAAGGATATTTCTGCAGGGATTGTGCTAAACTGTGATTTATGTGTCTAGCTGCAAAGTCAAAGATTTTAAACTTCTATTTATCTTAAAGGGCATTTCGGTGTACCATACTTTGCCTTTTTAAACTCAGCCCAGGGTATTTTATATTCTCTCTTGGGTGTAAATGAAAAGCAGCATTGCATTAAGAAAAACTTTTGAAAATGTGTGTTGCAAATGTAAAGTTGGCTGGTAATGGAAATGTTTTCTTTCTCTTTACTTTGGACAGGATTTCTGGCATCCAAAGCATGCTGGCCTTGATTAAATTAACTTTGCAATGTGAATTGCTTGAATGTGTCTGAATAAATCAATTTTTTTTTTCTTGCATGAATAAACATGCAAGCATTTAATACTCTCCACTACATTCAAACCATAAGGAATTGCAAGGTCAACTTCATCGTTATGCTTCATTCAGAATATGTGAAATTGGCTTTGGATGGAGATTCTAGTCTATGTGATATGGCTTATTTCTTCATCACTACACAGTCAATTTTGTCACAGTTAGAAGAAGACCAGAAAAGAAAATTATATCAATCCCTATAAGTCTTTCCCAGGCTTTTAGGGACTGAGACCACATGGCTTTTTTCTCTCTCTCTCTCTCTTTGGGAAAAGTGCATCATTGCAGTGGCTTTTTCTGACAGTCAGCTCAAATGACTGGAAACTCTCCCTGTCTCGCTACTGTTTTTCAGGTCTGCGTTGGGTCTGTAGCAGCATGCTGCAATGTCTCAGGACCGCCACTCTTTGACCATCCATCATGGGGAAATTGAATTGTTCCCCAATGCCAAGATGCCACCGAGTCCAATCAGCCATTATTTTTTCCCAAACCCAACAGCTGGACACTAGTACTGCAAATCAAGGGTGACAGTAGGTTGGATAGGGCCCTGATTGATCTCCCTCTGCCCTGTGCGCTTCGGGCTAAATGACCCAGCACTTGCAAATCTGCTGAGATCTGGAGCTTTGGCTAGATGCCCCCTCCCCTTCCAATAAACCTGGAGAGTAGCTGGCTTTAAAACCTGATTCAGCATTTGCTACTGTTTTGCTGCTCTACATCATTGTGCTTAGCAAGTGGATTTATTATTGTCATTTAACAGATCGAGTGAATCTTCAATTAGAACATTTTACCGTTGATGTTGTTATGGGGTTGTGTCTGAAAAAGCTGCCCTCTTGTGGTAAAGCTGTTGTCATTTTTTACAGTCTGTTTTATACTTATGTGCTGATAACTGGTGTCATCAATGGAAAATATTTGCAACAATTATCATTGATTTCTTCACATCACCCATGTTAACAAATTATAACATCATTCATCAACCGTATGAGCACAAGGTAATTAAAGTGATTCATTTGAATCATCTAATGCGATCATAACTAAATGCATCTCCATAACAGTGATGATTCATGTTAAGGGACTTATTGTTTAGGATAAAATATAATCTTTACAGATTATTAGTATTATTTAGACACTATCTTATTCATTGGGGAAGAATTTAACAGTTTAGGAATCTAATTCCCCAAAATAGAATTTAACATTATCAAAATCGAAAAAGTCAGCTTGCTGTAGACATGTTCATTCACACCCAATTTACTAAGAATATAATTTCACTTGAAATTAACCACCATCATTTTTTAGGCAATTCTCCAATCTATCAACACATACTGTCACTTTTTTCCATCATAATTTGCTTTTTAATAATATAATAAGCCATTACAATGAACCAGTGAGCTATGCAATTTGTGTAAGTGCTTTGAATATCTAGCCTACACATTTCACATTTCAAGCTTTGCAGGAAAGATCAATGAGTTCGTTTAATTTTGAACAGAAGTAATGGACATTTAAGGCATTTAGCATGTTTGTCATGTGAGGACTGTTTAAGTCACAATAGGTCATTTCTGGTTTTATTATTGTTTTCGCTACATTTAGGTCTGTGTGAAAAAGAGCAGATGGCATTGTGATGAGTTACAAACACAAAAGTGCTGGCGAGACAAAAGTCCCGTCCTCTGGTGCATTATTGCGCATATAGCACAACTTCAAAAAACTGCTTTGCACATATTATTCAGCTCTATTTTGTTTTTCGTACAGCTCACATTCTAAGCACAAGTAATGAATCTGCAGTATAGACAGTGGTTTTCATTTTTCTTTTTTCCCCCTGCAAATTTCACCATTTCAGCAAATAAAACAATGAGCACAATCTTAAAACTACTGGTTAAATTAAAGGGACAGTTCACTCAAAAATGATCGTTCTCTCATCATTTACTCAACTTAGACTGAGTAGAGGACTACTTTTAGTGCTTTTTGTCATTTTTGGAGTTTGGTAACTATTCACTTTTTAGACTGAAAATTCTGCTAAATACAAATTTGAGCTACACGAGAATGAGTAAATTAGAGAATTTTCATTTTTGGGTGAACTATCCTGGTGCACTCAGTAGAGAAGTCTTCGCATTCCCATTCATCTTAATGTCAGCTTCTTGGCTGGCACAGGACCCCTCGGAAGTGTGCGAATGGATGCTGTCATCTTTGCACATAGGTGCTCAGTTCCAGGAACATTTTTCGTGTGACTAATCACTCGTCTGGAGAAAAAGTGGTTAAAAAAGTGGTCTATTTCACACTTTCCGTAATTGAATTTACCAATGCCACTAAAGAAATGCTATGTTCAATATTTTACCATTTTAG